CTTTTACTCATAAACTGTGTAAAGTGAAAATCATGGTTATTTCTGTTTCTATCATATGATTATTGAGGCACACTAATTCAGAAACAGTAAAGACTGTGTCTTTCAACTGGATTAGAAAACAGAATTATAAATATACAAATTATGGTTTTTAGTTTTGTTATAAGTTATGCCACTAAATGATATGAAATCAAGACATCTAATCAGTACCTGAAAATAATTAGAACAAGATAACCTAAAAAGTAGATACTTGCTATTTTTCTCTTTTTATACAACCTGAAATGATTGGTAAATTGGTAGTGTTTATAGTTTTGTCTGACATGAAGTTATATTACATAAAGTTTTATGAATTGATCGCCAAATGATAACTGATCCAGATTTCTGGCCTTAGATATGCTCCCAACAAAATCCACCAACCATTTATTTTTTTATTTTTGACTACAGCTTGATTCCACACTGTATTTTCGGTACAAGTATGGAATTTTCAGCATGGATATCGGTAGCCCAAATTTTCCAGGCCGACCATAGATATCAGATGTGCGTCGGCAGGGGATCAAACCTCGGACCATGTGCATGGTTGGCGAGAGTCCTAACCACTGGGCCACTATTCAATGTAATAGGATATACACTTGTTTTGACGTAAGATATAAGGAGAATTCAGTTAACTAAAAATAATAGACTTGTGTTTCATACTTGTTAGAAGTTAGTAACAAAAGACATTTCGAATCTTAAAAGAACTCATGTTTGTTTTGAGGTGTATCAGTCAATGATGAAGTCAGGTGCTGGCATGAACGGATTATTGGCAGTCTTTTGGGTTCAGCATTGAATAAGTAAGAACCTTCAGATTTGCTGAGGACTACAGACATTGTTTGTAGAAAAGCCCAAAACTTGAGTCTGGGGCCTTCTGGTTACCAAATTTTCCTAAAACCTATGCGATAATTCACATTATGTAAGCCAAACCAAACAATTTTGAGCAGCATAATTTATAACTGTTACAAAAATGGTTAAAAATAGTCAGCAATATGACACAATGAGTTATGAGGTACAATGAACTAGAGATATCAGATGCTTGGGCTGATTACACAAAATATCAGAAAACAGGGCCTATATTACACCCAAAAAGGTAACAAAAGTTGCTCGAGTGGTCCTGAATATTTCAGCTAAGTACGGATACAATAAGATTAATTCGTCAGTGGTGATATTTAAAATTGAAAGAACAACTTTTATTGATTCCACTTGAATGTAACTTTGTTATCAGTTGCTTCCGTGTGCTTGAGTATTTTAGCAAAATATGTATTAATATACTCCCTAAGTGTCATAAATTTTCTCAAATCCCATCAAATGTATACTAAAGGATGAGGAAGGTAAGGAAATTAGAATTTTTATCGAGTGAGACAAGAGATTTGGACGAAGCCGACTGGTATAAATATTCATTGATTGAACTTCAATCATTATTCTCCTGTGGAGTCCTCAAAAATAAACTTATCCAAATTTTACTACTATGTAAATAATGAACATATTGTACACTACTTTGTTTTAACCATAAACTCTGTACTTTGACTTTACCTCGGGTTTTGAATAAATATATAGTTCTGCTTTCGACTCTCCGTCTTCTCCACCATCTCAACTGCCGTCGATCAATTTTAATCACCTGCTTTCTATCTCAAATTTTTGCAGGAGCACCGTATTTCTTCCTACGTACTTTGGTCGACCTCCGGCAACGTCAACATTGGAGAACTAGTACTGGAGCAGTCTTCCCGCAGCACCTGGAGTCTATAACGTTTATTGTGGACTTTGGATCTTTGTAAACCCAAGTAACCAAACTTTAATACATTCTTCCCGTAACTAAACTGATTTGGTACTTTATTTTCTATTTGAATTTGGGTAACTAAGCTAATAGAGTGAAAGGTTCACCACACTCAACTGCATCCTCAACTTTGATTAGGAAGATTGCGCTGCCATATATAGTTCAAACTATCATTCAGAAACTGAAGGTTTGGAATTCTACCTTGTTTTGATGGCATGATGCCTAGTGTAATTCCATGCTAGGCGAAAACCTGTCAGGGTATGAGGCAATTACATATGTTTTAACCTATATAGTGACAGTTTGTAAATATGTATTTTGGGGCTACTAATTTCACTGCCTTTTAGGTCAATAAATAGGCTGGCACACGGCTTTACACTAATCCTAAATGTAGATTTTTCGAACTAAGAACAGTCTCGTACACTCCAACTCTATTCTATGAACAAGAGTAATTAAACCCTGCAACAGAAACTTCGCCAAAGGAATAATGCAATTGACCTAACACTGCCTAAAACCATATGTATTATATGACCTTTGGTCAAATTATCACATCTTACATAATTCCTCTTAATTTCTATTTTTGTCGCGACTAAATAAACACTGCACCACATATTTGACTCCTACCATTCATTAGGATTTGATTATGGTATGAAAGTGTGTTCTTAAGATGACCCTGAAATACTGTAAATTAATCTCTACTTCTACTCCCCACAAGTGGAATTATTAGCCATTAGAGTTGTAAATAAAAATCAGTTTATTTTATGTAGAGAAGAAAACAAAAGACGTTGACCAAAGTCTTACTGTCTGTCTGTTTTCGACATAGAACTTTGCACTAATGTGCGGCAGTTCAGGTCACCACACTCCCTCCTTGTAGCACACAAAGCAAGAGAAGAAAGTAGAAGAAATGCATATTAGAAACAGCAAACAGAGGTGTGAGACAAAGGATTAGTAGTAACGAAGAACAATATAGTTTCATTGGAAGTCATAAGTCACAAGGAGTGGATGCATCTGCGCCACTGAGAACGATTTTGAGCCATGTCACCAATTGTTTCTAACCATTGGTTTTTACCGTCCCGAGGACCCCAACCAGCCAGTCAGGAAGTCGACACCTTCTTACGTGGCTGAGACTAGCTGTTGTAGATTTCATTGACTGGTGCCATGTTTTGGTTTGACCGCCGCTAGCTCTTTTCCAGCCTGACCCTATATCAGCTAACATTGCTTGTCGAGGAAGGCGGTGACTAGGCATACGTAACACATATCCTAACCATCTCAGTCTATGTAACTTCACAACCTCGTCGACTGATTTCTGTATCACAGGGCAGAAGTGATAAAGTCTTACTGGAAACTAAAATGGCAAAACAATATCCTGTAATCTTGTATGCTGTGAACAAACGTCTCTACGTGAATATGAATATTACAATTTATCTACAAGTTTTCTGAAAAGTTATCATATTTCTGGTGGAACACGTAAGGTTAAACAAAACGTTACTGTCTACTTATGTTACAGTTAAATAAGCTATCCTACTATGTTGGACGCCAAACGTTAATACCGTGGGCTCCGCATAAATGCAAGCCGATTCGTTATTAAATATAGGAGTGAAGATTATTACGATCATATTGATACAGAAAGTCTACAGTGCGACATAAATAATGTAGAATGGTAATCTCAAATGATGGTTTGAAATCATTAGAGAAGCGTACTAAGCGGTCAGAATCTGATTAAGGCGGTCATATCACCAACCGTCAATCATTAGTAGGAGACTATGAAATATACCTGAGAATTAACAGAAAGGATTAGACTGAAACAAAAAACACAAAACGCCCTGGATAAAAATCTAGAGCCATGAGAGGTAACAGATATTCAGCAAATAAATATCACATTTATCTGAGGGTGAAATTTTTCACTACGGTAAAAAGTTTAATAAATTCAAAAAATTTACACCACTCGACCTATTTTATCATCACTAAAAAATTAAGTTATTCATGAAATTGCAGTAAGGTCTGGAGAATCCGATAAAAGCCTACATTTAACGCCTATTGAGGTGTAAATCAGAAATATTACTGTTAACAAGACTGTCGTTTTCTGCATCGTTATTGATAGAACATATGATGACTAAAATTCGATTATCACTAATTCCGAGTGATTTTTGGTATTTCTCGAAATGGGCATCTACAGAAAATCAGTTGAAAATGGTTAACCAGTAGGTCAAAACATCAGTACAAAAGGAAGATATCACCAGAAAAGTTTCTGAACTGTGAAAAGTAGTTAAATTTAATTTTTGTTGTTCAATCAACCTAAATCACCAAGAAATATTTTCCAATAATAAATAATAACACCTGACAATCATGAACATACTTTGGAATGATAACGGTGCCAACGGTTTAAGCATCAAACCAACCATATCTCTATGTGGAACGTAAGTAGCATGAACTTTAACTGACCATGAAATTACTATTGGACAGAAACCACACGAATCACACATAATATCAGGTATCTCCCATGACAGATGAGAATTTTCATGGTTATCATTATTATTATGCTTCCTGAAAGTTACACGTTTCCTGTCTTTGCGCAACTAAAACAAACTTTTTACAACAATAAAGACTCCTATTCTCTTTTGTACGATCAACCTTCTCATAGTCGCTTCATTACAATGTTGATATATCTGTCAAATACTATAGTAGACTTGTATCAAAATTTGATTATATAACTAAAAAGTTTCAAATATTGCAGAATTAGTGAGTTATAATCAGAGCAAAGGATATGAAAACCCCGAACTCAAAAGAAAAATGCCTAAGCACTCTTGCTAAGTTTTCACAGAAGCGCGAAAAAAAATTAAGGACTTTTTGTACCATAAAGCGAGAAAGATGTGACGGAAATACATAATGGACTAATCTTGTCCCATTGAAAGATGAAAAGACAATTTCATCGAAATTACTTACTAAGTTTCAAGGAGAAAACCTTTACAGATATTCTATTCCTGTAAAAATACAACTTCAAGTCAAAAATGTAACATCTTATTAAGGAAACATGTGATTTCACTTTCTCAGTTTGTGAAATAATTAACACAAAAATACGACCAGCATCTAATTCTGGCCCAACTTTTGAAGCACTTAAACGAAAAGGATGACGAGAAAACCCTGATATCTGCCAAAATATTTGATCAAATAATACTCACGAAAAATAACAACGACCTACCAGTTCGTGTTGCATATTCAAAATAGTGGAAATAAAGTCAAACAAACAAACAAATTTCGCGATCAATTTTGTAAGAGAGTAAATTATTGTTCTCAGTACTTATTTGTGCTGGTGACATTTCAACAAATGCTTCAAATTCTGTGTCTTTAACATCTCTATTTGTACACAGTTTACAGAATTTGGGTCTATATACCGGTTGAACTAAGTTGCCGTTAATTAACAAGCAGAAGGTGCTGCTACGATATCCTCCGGTGGAAGTATATTTTCTTAACAAGATGCAAGAAACGAACTTGAAGACGTTGGCGACTTGAACGTGATTTTTATGGTTACGCTGATCTAGCAGGAATCCATTCTCGAGGAAAGAGTGAGATGCTGTAAACAAGAGCTCAAATCTTTATTTTGAACATGGGATTCTAAGTTGACGTCATATCTCAACCACCAATATGAAGTTACATTCATTCTCTCTTTACTTTTGAAGCTGGAGAATATCTTGCGAATTTTATTTCCCATTATTTCAACGTTTTACAATTTATTTACTTCGTACTTAAAAATATATGCTCTTTTCCGGGACACCGTATCTCAAATAGGGTCTGGTATAGGTCAGATGTGATATGCGGAATCTACCAAAATCCACTGAGCCCTAAATGAAAATGAATCATGATCAATAATGTCCACAGGTGGATGCAAATTTAGATTAGTGTATCAGAGTTCATAGTTAGGTTCAAAAGGAAGAGGCCATTACAGCCAGGAGTAATTTATCCTCAAATTTAATAATGGACACTGGTTAATAAGGAAATATCTATTCAACTCCTGTGCATATTATTTACGTCGGGATGACACAATGATTGAATTTATCACATTGGTTATTGCCGTCAAATGAGATGTCACACCACCTCACTGATGTTTCCCATTTCTGCACAAGAACACAAGCTCGTCTAGCTTACTGGATCACTAGTTTAAAAGTAGGTTCCAAACTGGTCAAAATAGGGAAATGAGGACATTGGTCTTAACACCGTATCCAGATAAATTCACCATTTGCTCACAAAACTTAAGGGCGAAACCAAAACAGGAAACATTTCTTCCCTGATTCGAATTTTGAAAAATCCTATAAGGTTAATAAACTAGTGTAAATGTAATTGAAGATTGAACGATCAATTCGCGGTTGTTTGCTCAAATCCAACTCCTCCATAATGTTCGCGAGTCGTCAATCCATCAGACATCGTCTCATCGGTCGCTGTTCAGAAAGAAGGTCAAAAAACTGTCAGAAGTAACATCGTGATTTATTGTTCCAATATTTGTTCTTAGACCTTAGTCTGTAAAGCCAGTATTTCTGGTTATATCTTGGCGTTGGAATAAGGAATTCTTGGGTCGCCAAACAGTGTTTTGGTTTTTGCGTCGGTTAATACTAAGCGTTTCTGAAAATCTTCGAGGGACAGCGTGAGGCCCAGCGTAGCAAGAGCTGGGCATTAACGGTTTATGAGACTTGATTGACATTAGAATGAAGAGAACACGAAGTTCAGCAAAGATATCTTTTCGGAGATTTCATTCTCAAAAGCTGTACAATCGCATTTATATAGATTATTTTACATGGATACAATTATTATTTGATTATTTAAACATAGTAACGAAGGTGATAATAATTTTCAACTTGATATGAAAGTTTGAAGGTAGGAGTATAGATTACAAGGGGCTTAGAGGCAAGATTGCATAGGATTAGAAAATAGTTACAACGTATGCAAAAATTAATATTTGATATTTCATACATTTATTCCCCTTAATGAATTTGAACAAAGCAAGAACTACAGTTTTAGCAGAATAAAATGGTAGCATCTTTTATTTCGTTGCCTTCTCGTCAGCTGCTTACATGGCAAAGACATTATTAAATAAATCTACAACAACAATTTTAACATACTTGCACAGAGTTAAGTTAAATAGAAGGTGATTATTGTTTTCAACTTGATATGAATCACAAGAGGCCTAGAAACGCAGGGATAGAACGAATTAGAGGTGTGGAAAAATGAGCATGGAAACAAATTGAAATCAAAATATTTTCAACCTGAAAAGTAAGTTAGGAGGTATGAATATAGATTACAAGAGGCATAGTAACAAATAATTACACAGGATTGGAATATAATTGTAAAATGGTTATTATAAACGTGACAACGTGCCGACAAAAGAAACAACCTGATTTCTGTGCAATTACATAGAGAAATCTAATAGAAGCGTCGGAGTACAAATACAATATCTGAAGGAATTGTTACTGAGATGCAGGCTGAGTGTACAATTCGCCTTCAACGGCGACATCTACAGATAAAAAGATGCAATTGCAATGGGATCTCCTCCTGGTCCGCTTTTAGGAGATTGCTTTATGGCCAGTTTGGAGGGTGGAGTTTTAAAACCAACGATAAACAAATTACCACCATACAAAAGGTACGTTGACGACACCCTCATAGTCTGCTACGATAACTCGGACTTCAACTGCATCTTACAAGAATTTAATAATTTCCATCCTTCGATTAAATTCACAATGGAATTGGAAAACGATTCAAAGATTCCATTTCTGGACATGGAATTGACGAGAAGAGATAACGGAACCCTGAAGAGATCCATCCACAAAAAACCGACATGGAATGGTCAACTAACACATTTCTATAGTTGGATACCTTTGAGCCGAAAACGAGCTCTCATCAGCGCACTAACCCATCTCATTAGAAAAATCTCCAGCACCGACTGTATGGAAGAGGAGCTCCTATTCCTCAAAAATATCCTGGCTCAAAATGGCTACCCGACACGTTTTGTCGAAAAGAACATGAAACTTAAGCCTAAAAGAGAAGAATGCAATTCAGCGCCAAAGAAAACGCTGTATCTAAATCTGAATTTCAAGGGAGATTTGGCAGCCGATATCCTGAAGAGGAGAATATCCAGCTCTTTAAAGAAGACCTTCCCTGCAACAACACTAAGCGTGACATTCTCTAGCCGTCCAATACTTCGAAACAAACTCTCGTATTTGACCAATTCAGTGTGCATATACCAGTTCACTTGCTCATGCGGGGCTAGGTAAATAGGTCATATGCGCGTTCTATCAAAACTTGTTTGAGAACACTACCCAAACAGAAGGCACCGTTTCAATCCTAAGTGCCATTATTGAATATCTATTCAACACCTCCCACAATGTCTAAACTGATTCTTCCAAGGTGATTTACAAAGTCAACAGAAACTTACCAAGAGCAGTATGTTTTCGACTTCTTTGTACTGCAGAGGTCGTAGCAATATGCATCGAGCTCCCGGAGCTGTGTGTTCAAAAGTAATTAGTCCAACATCTATAACTACCATGGACCTAGTTTGATATCTTCCACTTGCTTCAGTATTTTTCTCTTCTTCGTCTTTTTTCGTTCTCGCTATTACTTAAGAGCATTTTTTCGTTCGATGTGTGTTCGATCCTTAGTGTCTCAGTCTTCATTATTATTACTAAATCCTTTAATTCGTAGAGGAACATAGGGCTTCAGCTGCGCGTCTCCACTGCCTCCTGTTTTCTGCTAACTTTTTCACTCCGCTCCAAGCCTGCCCACATGAATTCATCTCCTCCTCACATGACCTGTTCCAAGTCACCCTCGAACTGACGACCAACTCGCCGCTTCCATTTCGGGTTCCACCCGAGCGATGGCTTGTCTAGTGATGTCACCTGATGGTTTCCTCAGCGTATGCCCAATCCATCTCCATTTCTCCCCGTCTATATGTTTCACAATCGGCTCCTTGTTGGTTGGCTTATTGCCAGACATACCTGTTGCTGATCTTTTCTGACCGGTCATCTGATCTGGAGTATTGAGCGAAGACAACTGTCAATGTAGTTGAAGATTGAACGATCAATTCATGGTTGTTTGCTCAAAATCAACTTCCCCGATTTTCGCAGAGGCATCAATACGACAGTCATCGTCTCATCGGTCGCTGTTCAGAAAGAAGTCAGCAATAAACCGTCAGAAGTAATATTGTGATTTATTATTGTAATATTTGTTCACAGACCTTAGTCATACTTCATTTATATGTTGGTGTAACAATAAAAAATCCTCGAGTCAACAACTGCTGTTTGGTTTTTGCGTCCGTTATTACTAAGCGTTTCTGAGAAACTTCAAGGAACAGCGTGAGCCCGAGCGTAGCAAGAGCTGGGCGTTAACGGTTTACGAGACGTGACTGACAGTTTCTGACGGTAGAAAAAGATTCTGGCCGATTCAGATAGCTGGTAACAGTTTGGATAGTCACCGTTCATCTTTCCTCGTGCCGGTCAAGTCCTCTTTGAACAAGCAATATCTGGAACTTTTTTGGAATTGGGTCAAGTTCAACAATGCCTGGGTCAAAGAAGGGACAGAGTGTCTTGGATGCAAACGGGAAAGTAAGCCATGGTGACTTGTCTGTTAATTGTAACGATGTGTCTGATGTTAAGCATGACATGGTTGATGTTATTGTTTCGCCGTTCAGGGATAATAGGAACATCAAACTCCCTAAATTTGAACCACCGTGTTTTGATGGAAACCCAGTTGATTATTTCCAATTTGTAAAGGAGTTTGAGATCATGCTGAGTAGATTTTATTAACTGATGAAATGAAATTGATGTATTTGATGAGGTATTGCACTGGAGTTGCGAGCGACTTTATTGCATATCCCCTCAATGACGCTTGTTGCTATGTTGCTATTGGTTTCAAGTGGCCTTGGTTTTGGGGGAAGATTTAACTGAAGTAATATTGCGATTTCATAACATAACTCAGTCTCATACGTGAAAGAAAGTTATTATCCCGAAATAAGGAGAAGTTTTTTAGAAGGTAAAGAGGGCATAATTTTTCATTTAATTTGTGTATACCTTTGTGCATCGAGTTGCGCTGAGTTCTTAGTGCAATGTTGCAATAAGAACTGTACAGTACTGCATGTAACTGTATTTACATCAAGTGAAACATTACGAATAAGCACGTTTTTAGAATAAAAAACATGATTCTTTTCATTAAGTTTAATAGTGAAGAATGGAATTTCTTCCACGTCATTGTTATTTCATTGAAGTTGTAATCTGTGTAGGTCCTTAAAGTAATAAATTCGGCGTGGAGAACTCCTATAAA